TATCGCGGTGTTTCTTTATTCCCCCTCGATTTCTAATTATCCACAAGAGCACGCACAGAGAGACTGAAAAAAAGAATTATTTAAATGCACGATGGTGACATTACAGAGTGTGATCTGCTCCACTGATCGCAAGCGATCATGCAATGCACCGGCATCACTTGTTTCAAATTAGTTAATCCTGCTCTTTGATCAGTAGCAAAGCATGCCCTGTTAAATCATGTACAAGAACATGAAGGCTTCTGTGTTAGCTGAGGCTGCGTTGTGACACAGCTGCCTGTAATGCAGTGAGGTGGATGTTATGCCGACCTTTGGTGTGAAACACTGCCATGTTTTAATCAAAGCTGTTGGCATTATACAGACTAGTTTAAGGTTAGGTTTAAGGAGTTACGCTGGGCTTGAAGGACAAATATTTTGCCACTCTGTTCTCTGAAGTAAGCATTGAGGTGAGTCATGTAAAACCCTGGGATGGAAGTATTGGTCGGTCGATCGCTTTACCACTTTGGCTCAGACTGAAATATCTCAACAGCTATTTACTAATGACCAGTAAATCCCCTGACTTTTCCTCAACCCGTCGGTCAAAATGTGGTAACGATTTGTTTTACTGTAAGTAAATTTAAAATAAGTCCAGAATTTTAAAGAAGTTTTCTGGAAAGAAGTCTTTAATTCTATACTAATTAGGGAAAATAGAGATGGTGTTCAATTTATTCTTTCCAATTATTTCTGATGAATTGCACAAGGCAAGGATACAATTTAACATAGTATATGAAGAACAGTGGTGAGTCAATATAACAGTAAAGGCAACATAAAATTCAATACAAACTGTGACATTAACATAGATTAGCTTGCTTCACTAACGAGTTAGCATTAGTGCATTAACGTAGTGTAAAATCTGGATCAGCACTCCCTAGTTTGACAGTTTGATCTGAGTTGCCTCCGTTGAGTTGATGCTAACATGTTAAACTAAAGTGGTGAACATGCTACAACATTATACCTGCTAAATATCAGCATAAACTGCTAGCATGGCTGTAGACTCGTGGGGCTCTACTTTTGGGTCGTTGAAATTAGTTTCCCAGTGCACGCCGCACAGGTGGAGGTGAAGCACAAACAGGTGGAAGGTTCATTTGGATGAGCAAGCGTTGGTATTTTTAGACTTTGAGCCGAGAATAGATGTTTGAGAAGCACGTCTGATTCGGCTGCAACATCAATCTGCTGCAATCTGAGGATTTTTTATCAAGAACAGCAAACAAAATACTTGGAGCAACTGCGCAGCAATAACAGAATCATTTAAAAAAAAAAGTAAATAAACAGTTTTAATGAAACACTCCCCAGCCAGTAGATGTGTTTACTTAGGCTTCAAAAAATACCGTTCAATGTGGTTAAAGCAGGGCCGTCAGTAAGCACCAATTTATAAGTGAATATAAGCTATTCTTGCTATTCTTATCTGTTGTCCACAGCTGCTTTATGCTGCTTTATGAAAAGCTTCTCCTTCAGCAGCAGGACACACACATGTGATAAACCTGCAGCCTCTGATTAGAGAGGTGACGTGCCAGAGCGCGGTGCTATTACGCATGGCCGTCCACTGTGTTTACCTTCATTAAATTACCTCCAAATGAAACCAGGCTGCTACAAAATAACAAACACACCTCCACACGCATCAGCCTGGCCGGTTACAGCTCTGCATTATGCTGTTAATGTGGGAGACATCGGATTACCAGAGCTCATTAATCCCGTGCATCGTAGCCTCCTTTACAATTTATTATATATATATATATATAAATAAATAAATCATGTTTTATTCTTGAAATCCATTACGAAGCAAATGCTGTTGGGTCACATTTTCAGATATGATGTAACCATTTATAGCCTGAAATACAGTAGAAGCATAGAAACTGCTTCGCCAAATAATTTTTTAATTTTAAATGTAATTAATTTCTATCATCAGTGTACAAAAAAAAAAGGACAATGTGCCTCTGGCTGCAAAATTGTGGTGCTGTGTTTGCGTCGTCTGGCTGTGCGTCATCCAGACAACAACTTGATTTCCTGGAGAAGCATCGTTCCTTTGGTTGAGCTAGTGATGTTATGCTTCTCTGTGATCGGCACAGCTGTTTCAGAGTGATAAGACAGTGATGTGACTAAGTGAGAGTGTGTTTATTAATCAACACACCCTCTGAATGTATGTATATATTGTATGGATTGCCATTTTTTATTCATTGTTGTATTTGATATTGACTACTATTTACTGCTGTTGGAAGTACGTCTGTTTGGCCGCCATATTGGAGAGGTCAAGAGCCGCTGGCTATCTGTACTCGGATACATAATTGTCTGTAACTCGCTTAATTCTGAACCGATTTTCACAAAATTTGGTTTGTTACAAACGTGAGAAACTGATTGTCAGAATTTGCCTACAGCAGCGGTTCACAAACCGGGGGACCGGGGACCTTGGAACTGGGGGGTTGTGAGGCCTTCCTGATTTTAAGGGGTTTTAAGGCCCTAGTATTTCTTTCATTTCTGTGAAGAAAACTAAATGAAACCGTTATTTTTGAAGTTTAGATTTGTATTAAAGATATACTCTTTGAAGACGTGAACACTATATTCACAAAGCCTTCACTCTCTGCTAGACAGCCTCATCCGACATTAAAGGTTTAAACAATCAAAGAGCTAATAGAACAATGGCAGAGTTCCAAGAAAACACAGAATTTGTCAAAGAAGAAGCCTATCAAGTATGTATGATTTGTTAAATATTTAAAAAAACAAAACATAATACAGACGGAGAATTGTAGAAAAAGTTCTTAAAAATATCTATTATTAATATATTCACAGGAAATAATCTGCTCAGAATTCATCAAAATCGCTCGTTTTACACAAACTTCCTGCAGTCATTATGTTCACTGTTTGGGTTCAATGTACAGTTTATCAGCTGTTTTCTACTGTTATTTTGAATATCATATGAAATGATGATATGAGTATAAAATGTCACTTACTTTTTAAGAATCTGCAGCCACAAAAAATCTTTCGAAACAGCAACGGCAACTAAATCTTAGCAGTTCTTTAGAGCACGATCAAAAACTCAGGCAAACAACAGGCTGAAGAAACCTTTTAGTTTCAGGTACTTTGAGTAGAAAGCTTTATATTCCCTTTCACCCATAAACCAAAATAGCAGCTTGGAGACACCCACACAGCACTGTACACCCCAGACCTTTTAATTGTCGCTTTGCACTTGTTGTTGTGCCTGTTTAATTAACATAACAACAATCATTCCAAGACTGTGCACAGTGCAGGTTAATTGAAGCAAAGACACGTTTTCTGCATCCTTTGTTTCTGACACATTCAGCTGTCGAGGGCCTGCTTCTGTGAGCGTGAACGCTGATGACCTCAACTGTACTGTGTGTTTGAACTGTTCTCTCCAAAAGTAAAGCCTTAAAAAGTTTAGCAAAGTGTCTAGTTTCTGCTGTGCTTGTATGCTTTCATCTCTTTGAACACATTCCAAAATGATTCAATAAAATAGCCAAAAAGCAAAGTGAGGAATAAAGGAAAAATCTTTTAAAATCCTGTTTTAGCCGTTAAGCACCATCTTGACCCAGGGTGCTGTTACTTATGAATTGACAGGTGTATCTAGACTGTACTTAAACACACTACACACACACACACACACACACACACACACACAGTTCCTGCCATGTGAATCGGCAGAGCTTAAATTGACAATTGCCCCCATATCTAATTAAAATCAAGCCTGCCTCTCTTTCTCAGGCTCTTTATTCGGTGTGACAGCTCCACATGGAGAAGCTAATGGGGGCTCCGGGGCTTCACATCCACTCCTTTCACGATAATGTGGGATGTAACCTACAGATTTCTCCGCCTTACATGGAGCCTGTTCGATACTGTACACTGGAGGCGAGCTGTTAAATACACTGCAGCAGAAACAAAGATGAAACCCTCCTTTGCTCAGTATGACGCACACTTCTGCAGCCGCCCCCAAAATGTCTCCTTGCCCAGCAAAGTAGTAAATGGCCTCATCTCATGCTGTTGACTACAAAGTCAATTGGTCTGCCTGCCTTGGTCAAGAGAACAAAAGCCACTCTAATGCCAGTTCAATTGTCTCCATACTCGAACAGTGGAGACAATTGTACTGTCGTCAGCTTTGCCCTTCATGTAAAACCCCAGTGAAGGGGAAAACAGGATTTGTTTAGAGCCATCCCTCTTGAGCTTTTATTGCTGAGTGAGGACGACCACTTCACTCAGCAGTGCAGCAAATGTTAAGACGGTTTGAGTTCAAAGGCTGCTGGTTGAAATGAGAAATGGGCGGAGGGTGTCAACAAATAGGGTTGCTCTTACACTTAATGCTAGAAACTTCAGCGCGCCCCTCCCTCCTGTACATAAGCCGTACAGCAAATCACAGTGAAGGCATCTGTTTATTTTTTCCTCTTTTGTTCGTTGCATCCCATTCCCAAGAGGAAACAAACTGTCCTTTAATACCGATGAAAGACTCCCTGGCTCGTATCACCGCTGAGGGCCCGTACCGTTCTGTTATTTCTGATTCTTCCAAGCCCCACATCATCAATACCGCCTTTCTGTATCGACGCAGAAGAGCGGGGGTCAACCGTCTCCGCTTTCAGAAGGGTTCACACCGTGGTGAGATGAGACGTAACAAGCCACCCCTCCACTGAATCCTAATTCCTGACAGGATCGTGTTCCCCTGCCATCCTCACTTCAAGCCTGCCTTTTATGTCTAACAACAACACAGCAACCTGCCACATTTGCAAGCTTGTGGCCGTTTACCTTTGGTATTCTTTTAAAATGGAGTAGTACTTTGTGATAAAAGAACTACCCCGCCCCCCCCGCTGTCCCCCTCTGAATATGTCGCAACTCTTTTGTTCTCCAAATTTCCATATTTGTCATTTGTGACTCGAGTTTCGTAACGCCAGTCTGGCTGTTTGGATTGTCAGCCGCGGCGTTTCGTATTCTGCTCTAATAATGCCTTTTGTTTTCTCTCCTTTCAGGAAACATCAACGACTGCTCTCTGCACTACTACTTCTTCCTCCTGGCAGGGATCCAGGGCGTCACCTTGCTGGTCTTCCTTATCATCTCAGTCAAGTATGACAAGCAGAGGAGCAGAGCAGGAAGCCAAAGGCAGAGACAGACCTCCTCTTGACCCCCCACACACGTCCCCATTTCCCCCCCCCCACCGTACCTGCCTTTTCCGGTCCTATCGCTCAGTGCCCAAAGACCCTGTCGAATCACTCACTAATCAAATCCTACAAAGGTTCGGTTTACCTCTTCAGGTCACAAATTACCTGTACCTGTCGTGACTATATATTTCTTATTTATGTTTATTTGAGCTTTTAAGTGGGGACTACTTTTTCTATAACAATAATGGTTTTACATCGCTGTATGAATGCACAGGCACCACTCAGTATTGAGATTAACGCAGGAGCCATGTTTGAATCATTTCCGCTGCGCTCCTTCACTCCTGTGTGTTTACTCTTGTTGCCTTTTTTGATCATTTGCACTTGACTTGAGGAGTGGCGCCATAAAACATATCTAAATATTTTCTAATCATGAAGGATACTGAGTTGTTTTTATAGTTAGATTTTTACTTCTTCTTATTTTTGGACTAACGATTTTACTGACCCTGGTATGATACATTAGTATTTAGCCAAATTGACCGTTTTAAATTAATTCTAGACTTACATCCCAGACTAAAACTGGGATATTTCTGCATTAAGAGTACTTGAATGTTAGCATTATTTCTTGATTACAATTACTCATGTTGGGCTTCAAATATCTGTGCAGTAACGTAGTTGTAGTCGCATGGAATGGGACGTTTGTTTTAATGCATTTATTGCTGTTAATGTTGAGACAGAATTTGTTAGAGATTAAACTCTTATTTAACTCATCTAATATTCAAATCTAATATTGAGAGAAAAAAAACTTCAAAAATTTGAACAAAAATAAGTTTTAATAAGCTTTGTAAAAAACAGTGAAAAGTTGTGGCTTCAGTCTTTGCTTGTGATGTTTTTGATTTTCTGATTCTTAGTCAGAGGCTAAATTGAAACATGGCCATTAGTGTTACAAACGTACAGAAAGGAAATGCACACGCGTTCATTTTCCTGATTTCATTGGTTGTTTTCCCAGAATCAAATGATGTCTCTGGAACATAGGCAGTTTCGAAAGGAAAGGGAAGTTAAGTACTTCAGGGGCTGCGGTTTGGCTCAGCGCGTCCACACCTCATTGGCCCGCAAATGATTGTGCCGGAGCCAGCATCGAGCAGAGGAAACGTCAAGTGTGAACACTTGCTCCTGCGATGAGTTCACTGCTTTGTAGTGAATGATTAGTTTGGGCTGAGGGATACACGCTGCGGAGAGGAGGCGGCTACCAGCGGAGAGGTACTCGCTCTCGCAGCTTTGAGTCCTTTTGAGAGTGATGCTGAGGCATAAATCCTCAAACAGCTCCATACATGAATAAGTCCTCATGTCGAAAATACTCCCATGAAGCTTCACAGCAGTTTGTAAATTCTGGTCAAGCTGCAAAACTGCATGTCCGCACGACAAACAACTAATTAAGAAACTAACCTTAAAGCTTAACAGGCAACCTTGAGCAGAGCCCTTAAAATATCTTCTAAATTAATGCTGGGATTGTGATGGAAAGGAGTACAGACAAATTAAAAATGCAACCTATTCACACTGACGTATTCAGATTTAGAATTTCATAGCAAAATAAATCACAACTTTCCCAGTATTTGTTGTGAGGAACTTTCTACAGTGTTATCATGGCTTTGCAGCTTTGCCAGAAAATGTCTTTTTCTTGTATTTATTAGACTGTGATGCATTTGTTTTAGCTTTATACTGCAAAGAGAAATTCGTGTGTGTGTGTGTGCGCGTGTGTGTTTCTTCAATTCTTAAAAGGTACAGCACAAGGTACTGAATTTTATCAAAGCAAGAAAACTCAGGGCTCGAGCGATAGTGTCGAGTGACAAAAATTCTCCAGGAAATGTAAAACTGCCTTTGGGAGCTTAGAACAGTGTTTACCCTGTGGTGTCAATAAAGTTACATTTGTAACAGCACATAAAAAGCAAGAAGCTATCTCAGTACAGACGGTATGTGACGCCTGTTTCTTTTTTTGTGATCTTTCGTTTGTGTTTCATTGATCGGATAAATGGATGTTCCTTGTTTTATTGCATATTTTATATACACTTGCTTTGTCATCTCAGCCCTCTTAAAATAAGTTTTATTATGTTTATTTTGGAATTATACTCTGTTTTCATAATGCTGTAGAACTGGAATATTGTTTTGTGGTTATGTTTGTGGCCATTAAAGTATATTAAATTGAGCATTGGGTTTTTCATTTTCAGCCATTGTCTAAATAAGTAACGCTTTACAAAGCTTGTTGAAGCGTCTGTCATCAACATCACTTTACCTGCTGTTAACGGCTGTAAAACTCTTTTTTTCCTGTACTTTTATTATGAATATTTAGCATTTTGTCACACAAGCCAGCACTGCTTTGTCACAGGTTGTGCAGTCAGGATGAAAAATGAGTAGCCTACTTTAGTTCAAGCACAAATATTACAGATATATTACAAATATTTAAAGCATCAGAAAAGAGCCATAACATAATATCCTTCAGGTGGATGTTATCAGGTGGCGGGGTTGACCCTGTTGTTTACATGTGAAACACGGATTGTGCCTTTAAAGCCAGGAAGCTTTCATGATTAGGGTTATGGTTTGCTGATCCTAAGGGAAACTCAAAGTAGAGTGCCTAAATTATTTATATTACAAAAAAACACACCCTGAGGCAGACTGTTTGGGCAAATGTTGCAAACACAGAGGTGGAAAGCCTCATTTTGCATTCCTATTGGGGAAGGCAGCATATTTCTTCTTGGTTTCATCAGACACAGATTGAAATCAACACGTCATCACAGATCATTTTTTTAATGCTAAGCCCTCCCAGCCACGAGGCTCAGAGAGGGCCATTTCCTCTTTAATTTGGTCGGAGAGCCCATATAGCCGTGACTGAGGAGACAGCTTGATGTTTGAAACCAACACAATGCCTGCGGGTCATAATTCTAGTGTGGCGGCTTGTTTCTCATGTTGAGAGGAATTTCTGACACATCGAAGTTGTTATGGAGGCAGAATTGCAAGGCAATAACACTGAGATATATAGTGCTAGTGCTTGCCTCCCAATACTTTAAGTTAATTTATTGGCCAGGATTTAAGCAAACAATGGTGCCTTAGAGAGCACCTGCATTTATTTACGACTGATTTGGGTTTTCTGAGCATATTTTATTAGCCAAGGTGATGATTTGCCTCTGAAGTGTATAGAGTTCTCAATTTGTAAGTATCTTTAAACCATTCTAGTGACACTAACTGTGGGTTAGTGTTAAAGTCTATTGGATGGACTGCCAAGAGTTTAGTGACCCCCTGACATTCAGCACCACCAGCAGGATAAAGTTTCCTGTGAAATATCTCTTAATGTATAAACAAACTAACTCATTCATACACCGATGCACAGCATTGGCAGCAATTTGGGGTTCAGTATCTTACTCAAGGACACTTTGACGTGCAGCGGGAGGAGCCGGGGATCGAACCGCCAAACCTCTGATGAGTGGAGAACCCCCACTACTTTCTGAGCCACAGCCGCTCTATAGAACCACCCTGAGGTCCGTATTTGTGTTTTGAGGGAAATGTCTCAACAGCTATTTAATTGATCAGGATGAATGGTACAGATTTTGGTGACTTTTCATCTAGCGCCATCATCAGTTTAAATTGACATTTTTGGTTGACCAAATACCTGCATAAATATACCTTCCCATCAGTCTCAGCTGCTGTGTTTTGCCCTAATTAGGAAATCTGAGCACGCTAACATGCTAAACTTAAATGGTACTCATGGTAAACATTATACATTTCTAGCATTAGCGTTTTTGCATCGTCATTGTGAGCGTGTTAGTACGCTGATGTTAAACTCAGCACTGCTGTGCCTACAGCCTTACTAGCATAGCTGTAGCATAGCTTGGTGTAGTTTATTATTTCCTGCCAATAATGTGCCTACAAATACTCTGTAAAGGGTGTCTGTAGGTTCTTACAGTCTAAAATCCAATCATCTGAATTTTTAAAATGTCTCTTAAATTTGATTTTAACAGGTCTTTAACATCGGTTGTATTAATTAAGTTAATATTACCTGCATTGCCTGAAAAGGGGTCATCCCTATGTTCCCCG